CCAGGGTTCAAAAGCTCAATCAGTTCTGGGCCTGGGTTGGGATGGATGTTACCTGATAGGAACAAGAGTAGAGTAATTCAAAAGCCTGCTGATCTTGTCGGGCGGGTAGTGTCGACTCCATGGTCGCGCCTGCGGGAGATGGACTGAAACTGCCGTATTTCTGCCCAACTGAGAAGCTCGTACTTGTGCAGGGTCTCAATAGAACAGTCAGGAAAGACCGATGAAGCCATGTGGGTTGATGTAAAGCCGCCGGTATCAGAAAGCAGCACAGTTACAGAATTTGGGAGAATAATCCGGGAAAATGCAAATAATCCATCACCAGATCCCAGAGCATCCACAGCCGGTGAGCTCAGCACATAAGCGAACAGCAGCCAAACCGGTAGTCTCATGTTGTTGATGCAGCCGGATCAGCTTGTTTCGTTGTTATAGAGTAGGCTATGTTGCTGTTTACTGTTTACCATCACCGAGTTGTTAGCACAGTTCTGAGACCTGAGATGAGAATTATTCCGAATCAGGTAGCCCATCAAACATATGAAAACACAGATACAGACACAAGTAAACTACGCAGACAAACAAGAAAACACCAGCGCCGCCTTGAAAGGTGAAATGTTGCTCTTCATCACTAATGGTGTAATATCATTGACCAGAGTGTGTAGTAAAGTGGTGAAGCATGGAACATTGGAATGAATGTACAAAAATGAAGGGCACTTAGAGCAGTTTCTGTTTTGTTTCCATGCTCAGTGTTTTGATAATGCTTTTGAGAGAATATTCCCATCTAAGTACAACCTATTGACTCTCGCTCTGTCTGTCTCTCTCTGTATTTCAGAGCAGTCTCCAGTGTACGCCCTGGAGTGGAAAGGCGTCTTTAGAACAGCAGGTAGCAGAGCTGAAGGTGAACACTGAGGTCCAATCAGCAGATTCTCCAACTAATCTGGAGGACAGCAGACTGAGCTCAGGTAAAACCATCAACTCTGCTTCTCCAAAACAGTGGAGAGCATGTGCAGTTTTTAAGGTGGACAATATATAAGCTTATTTTAACCATTGTTTTTTTAGTACTTCAATAAAATGTTGTGTATAACTTAGTCTGTTTTCTCTGTGTGCAAATACTAAACAAATCTCCTCCAGTGCCTTATCACTCATTATTATTTTTAATAATATTGACTTCATTTAAAAAAATGAGCTCAGTGCTGCATGAAGGGAGCAATAGTTATTGTGTGCTCTAGTTGCACCAAGACATGACTCACAGTCATTATCAAGAGCAATGATTCTTCCTCCCTGCTGTAGACACTGAGGTCATTAAGGATGCGGTTTAGTGTCTGGCAAACAAACTTCAAGCATACAAATCTAATTCACATCCTTGGTGGCTAAACACAAAGACACAAATCTGAGCACATTGGGATTTTAAATGACAAACAGTCCTGTTTGTTGCACCATGGAGGCATGATGCTGGTTATACATAACCATAATTAAGCAACACTTGTGTCTGGTAAGACCACAAATGGCTTGAAATGTATGTTCAAGTATACTGACAGAATATGAATTGTGCCTGTGTAGCAAGTAATTATGTGTGGATCATAACTAAAATGGGTTTGCCATTAAGCTCAGAGTCCTGTAAAAAGACTGTAGTTGCTGTGTATACAATTTGTAAATGATAAAAAACAGCCCAGAGCCTATATTTGTGATGGTTTAAAAGTAAACAAATAAAACTGAACCTTTTCCATGGATGCAATACATCTTAAGCATTATTTTTTATGTGTTTGAACAATTGTACATAAAGTAATATTATCAGCAATAATTCAAATGAGAGTATCATGACTCAATTATGTCAAAAGACATCATTCAGCAAGGTTACATATTACTGTAACATGAGCAAATGATTCACTAGCTAATTTCAAATGTTTGTTGTTATTGTTGGTTATGTGATTTTAAGGTTAACCTCTCTTTATCTTTTCCCTTTTTTAAAAAAAATATCAAATTTACTCTCAATAAACTTTATATGAGATTGTGTTTTGATGTATTTCAGATGGTATAACGGTAGCATGATTTTACTCTTGCAATGATTCCAGAAGGTATAGCCTTCTAACTATCGCACTAACCACAAATCCCTAGTATAAAGTAATCACAGCCAGTGCCTAAAATGCCAGTACTCAGTGGCTTAGGGGCATGTTGTGGTTAAGGTCAGGATTAGGGTTGTGCTGAATTGGGGTACTGGCACTGGTACGTTTTTTGTCCAATTCAGGCAGTGGTCACTGCTTTCATGTATTGAAAGATGTGGGTCTTTTAGTTGTGTATGACCTTTTTTGCTTGTTAATGAGCATCAATATTTGTCAGCATAAACACCTTTCTCATTAAGCAAAATATATGTGACAGTTGTTCATGTATCCACACCATACTGTATAATATACAATAAGAGGTGTCACATTCACAGTCTTTGCAATCTATCAGGAGGGTCAGCATTTGTTGGCTCAGACAAAATTATTTTATTGAGGTGGTAACAGCAAGAATGATTCTGATCACTTTCTTTGTCTTTGCTCTGTTTGCCAGGAGAGGTCCTTGTAGCCAAGCAAAATAGATTTCATGAATCAAATTACCATCCTGCTGTCCCTCGTTCCCTCTCAGCCCCTGGGGGGACAGAAGAGATAGAGACAGGAGAAACATGGCTGTCAGACCCAACAAGACGAGCCACGGTCACTGATGTTTTGGGGGAAATTAAGGATGTTGACCCCAGTCAGGAAGATTACCAACAGGCCCAGAAGGTAGAGACTTATATATTTGGATTGATCCAACGCAGAGCCCTACCCACACGGCCCTCAAAACCCCGCACCAGCCTGGCACATGATGCCCGAGCTGTCAGTGTGGTGAGGCAGAGTAGTTTATGCCACAAGGAGCAAGAGCAACATTCACCAAAGTCGGGGTCTATTCAAGAGGTCTCTAATACATCCCAGTGCCCAGAGGGAACTGCTCCAAAGGCTTGCCATAATCTTGATCAGGAACATTACCAAGGGACAGGGTTTACTGAAGATGCCCCACCCCCATACCACCACTATCTCCAGCAAAGTGTCCAGCCTCAACCAGGGCTTTATGACAGGCCCAGGCAGGCCTCCGTGATTAACAGCTCCCGCTCAACCTTGCTGGACTATCCATCTTTCAGAGTGCTGCAAACCCACCCAGACTCCAGCAATAGCGAGCCTGATTCACCCCAACATTTCCACAACTACCCTTCCCCTCCACCTCTGTCAAAGCCTCACCAACTGCCTTCACCTGGTGAGCAGCTGGTCAATGCAGAGTATATTCCAGCCCAACCCTGTCGAGCCTCCACCAGAGCTTATGCTCATCACCACTGCAACCCCCACAAGGGCTCTGCGATGCCCAAACCCAACCGAAGCACATATTCCCCAGAAAGAGGCCATCAAGAGCAGAACCCCTCAACATCTCAGATCCAACACTCAAGATCCAGAGTGGGCCCAAAGAAGTGCCGCTCTAATGAAGACAAAAGTGGTGCCAGCAGGAAGCCAGGAAAGAAAGCATGTAGGTCTCAGTCAGAGAACAGCCTGCAAAGGGTTCCAGAGCGGAAGTACAATACAGTGGAGAGAGATGGTGGAGGAAGTGGAAGCGGTGGAAGGGCAAGCCGCAGTAGTCAATCTAGGAGCAAGAAACAACAGCAAGGAAGTGGTAGCTATCGGCGCTGGCAATCCACCCTGGAGCTTAGCCAAGACGAGGGTGACCAGCAACCCATGCAAGCACCTATGCAAGGCTCCTCAGCTTTAAACCAAAGGGACCATTGTGGAAGGCGCACCCGCAAATCTCGCCCTACACATGCATCATATGCCTACCCACACCACCACCACTCACACCACCATCAGCACATGGAGTACCAGTTAGAAAGGGACCAAGTTCTACCGTGTCAACCTAGTGAGGACTACCCCCACCCAGGGCCGGGTGAGTCTGAGTCCAGCATGAGCGAAGCTGACTCTCCAGATTCCAGCTCATTGTCCAGTGACTCAGATGAGAGTGGTGGTCTGGTTTGGCCCCAACAACTACCCCCTCAACTTTCCCTCCCATCACCTCCTGCACCACCTGGAGCACCTCTGCAGCCCAAGGCTTTTGTCAAGATTAAGGCCTCACATGCCCTTAAAAAGAAGATCCTACGCTTCCGCACTGGTTCACTAAAAGTAATGACCACTGTATAAAGCGTAATACTTGCCAAACTGAAAGAGCACGAGCTGCAGAGCTTTGGACTATGTAGAATAATGGACCTCAAACTAAAGTGAATTTAAAAATCAATATGTGCATGAAAGTACTGTGATCTTGGCTGACTGAATTGATTGGATAGTTTTAGATCAGCCTTAACAAACAATAAAGGAAATAGCTATCACCATATCAGTCTTTGATATTAGCATTTGGCCACATTGGCCCCAAAATATCCCCACCCAGACACATGCACACAGTCACTGAAGTTTATAATTTTCCATGGAGACATTGTCTTTGAGGTCACAGAGAACTGTATGTCATGATTGTAATTTCCAGCCATGCACGGATTAATCCCCAATATACCCACCATTGTAAGTAGGGCTGGGTATCAATATAAATATTTCGATACTGGTACTGATTCCTGAATGCTAGAAGGACACATTACGGTACAATTACTCACTTCAAAGGAGGAAGCGATTCAAAGACCAGGGAAATGAAGATGGAATATCTGTACAGTATTTGAGTATATAAAAATATTAATAACTTTCAAAATGAACACTCATAACAAACGGTAATGGCAATAGGCCATTGTAGCCTCCGGGCTAAAGAGCAGCTCGCCGGGGTCCGACGACTTTAGGTGTATTTCTCTCTGTTTACCGTCAGTGTGAAAGCGACACCATGTTTGCCGCAGAGGATGCGCTGGAGCTCCAATCCCAGTGGACGATGTGGTGAACGGACTTAAACGTTGAGCAGATACAGGTTAGCTAGACTAGCTAACAAGCAGCACAAAGATGCCGTAGTTATCTGTGCAGATAAGTATTTTACAGTAAAAAACACAAATACAATGACCCCAACATAGTGTGTTATCTGCATGCCTCTACGATGTGAGGTTAGACATCCTGCTGTATTCCTATTGCCGCTCTCACACTGATGAGATTTACTCCTAAGGTATTAAAATTTTGTACAGAATGACATGGCATTTTTTAAATATTTGATAGTATCAAAGCAATTCATCAGTTACATAAAAGTATTGATGTTCAGTACCCAGCCCCAATTGTACTGTCTTTATACGAGAACATTTTAGTATTCTTATCTTAACTTTTCTTACTCTTTTGCGTGGCTTGTTTGTATGAGGTCAATCACTCAAATCATGTGCAGTTAAAATGCACCAAAATCTCACCAAATCTCAACAGTTTTAACTGCACATGATTTGTGCAGTTAAGGCAGTTTAATCATTTGCATAACCAACACTTTGTAATGCGCAGATATCTGTTCTTTAAAAAGTATGTTTTTAGTTGCCAGGTTATCCTACATTTACCCTTTGTCTCCAAGCTTTCCATACTAGCTTCTGTCCTATTTTAAGCAAATTCTTCATCAAACACACATATGCACATTGGAAACTTATTGTTGAAAATACAGTTATTTGCAATGCTGAGACAGGCCACGGTTCCCTTGTATTTGGACCGTGAAATCCTCTTTTGTTGCTCAAATGAAGCATACTTGTTATTATTAAATTAAGTCATACTGTCATCAAAGAGTAGGCCAACTAAAGACAAACAACCAAAAGTTTGTGATTCCTACACGTTTTTCTTTATAAACACTCAGCTATTAAATATATTGTGAGTGGAACTAAATTTGTCTGACAGATATGGTGACATGTGACCAAAGTCTATAGTAAGTAGTTATGAAGGATTATTAGTACAGTACAAAGTGCTTGTGAGACATTTTGTCTGAAATTTGTGGTTGAGAGAGTAAATCTCACTGTAGAGCCGACTTTTAGCCAAAAAGAAGTCTGTGAATCTTTGACATTTTAATGTAGCAGCAGACACAAACCAGCAAGATACTGCAGTAGCAATATTTAAACAGTATTTTTTTTAAAGTTTTGGCCAAATCAAATGTCTCACTCAAATAAAAATAAATGTTCTTGAAGGACCTTGTTTAAAATGTTAAGTAGCAACAGTTTCTACTTTTTTATGTTTTATAGTTAGCTACTTACAGACTAATAGAATTTTGCCAGCTCAAAGAATGTATTTAACGTTACCGTGTCACTTTGACTATTTGACAGTATTATCATTTAAAGTGCACTAGCCAACTCACTATTAGCTTCTTTTTGTATAAAATGTCTTTGACAAAATGCAGTGTATGATATTAAAGTGTTAAAAGTTCCAAAGCAATACTTGTCTTTTTTTATTATTATTATTCTACGAAAACATTTCCACATCAACCAGTAGTTCAATGCATCACACTCTGTGTTACCAAATGGCCAGCCCATGTAAATATCCCACACACTGTGACACATATGTAAATAGACCACACACTGTGACACAGGTAACACACACACACACACACACACACCTACACACACCTACACACACACACACGTGTTAGCAGCCCTGGTGTAAGTGATGGAAGTGTTGAATGACTGAAGTATGAGAGTAAGGGAGTGGGGGAGGTGACAGAGAGGAGGGGTTAAAGTGGAGAGTTAAGGGGTCAGAGGGAACATTGGTTTGTTTAAGATTTAATTTTCCTCTCTTAACTGTCACAAACAGTACAGAGGAAGTGAACTGTAGGGGAAGTTTGATACTCTGGATGTCCTGATCCATGAGACTCTTTTAGAGATTTACTGCTTTTGCATGGTTAAGGCAGATTTTCAAATACAATTACTGCTACTACTACTGCTGTAACTACAACTTTACTGTATTTACCACTGCTGCTACTACAAATAAAACTACCATTACGACTGCTACTGCTCTACATTTGGTAATGCCACCATTGCTACTACTTTAACAACCATTACTGCAGCTGCTAATACTACTACTACTTCTATTACTAATACAACTACAACACAGAACATAAAACATTGATGAAAAAACAATAAAAGCAAGCAAAAGTACACAGGATAAAAACAATAAAATCATCCAGACAAACAATAAAACTAACTAATACATGAATTTAGTTAAAAAAAATATTACATTAATTTAAAGCAATTGTCTTTACCTTGGGTTTAAAAGTAGTCAGCACTGTTTCAAGTCTTAGCTCTTCTGGCAGTTTGCTCCTCATTTGACCAGCACAGAAAGTAAACACAACTTCTCCACACTTAGTTTTAAGACTGGACACAGCCAGTAATCCATAACCAGCTGACCTCAGAGTTCTGCAAGGTTCATACTGGGTCTATCTATGGCTATTTTGGAATTTAACCATTCAAACACTTAAGGACAAGCACTAGAATGATAGCCAATGTAGTGATCTGATAACTGTAGTTACATGCTGAGCTTTTTTGGTCTTTGTCACAACCCTGGCAGCATCATTCTGGATCAGCTGCAGCTGTCTGATTGCTGTCTTTGACAGACCTTAGACCATTGCAGTAGTCCAGCCTGCTAAAGATAAATGAATGTACTAGTTTCTCCGTGACATGTGTCTGATCCTTGCAATATTTTTAAGGTGGTAGAATGCTGATTTTGTTATTGATTTAATGTGACTACTACAGTGTGTACTAACCTCTACTGACATTACCTCTACTATTGCACTAATACTAGCAAAACTAATACTAGTTGTAGCTATAGTACAACTGCTAGCTAATAAAACTATTAGTACTACTCATGCTATTAATACTTTTACTATGATGTACAATTACTGCCACTACTGCTACTGTTATAATTATAAAGCTACACCAGTCATTAGTGGGATACTACCAATAAACCACATGTACAGTATAAACTTTTTCTGTCTTAAAAAGTAATTGAACTCATATATTACATCACCATTGCTACTACACACACACACACACACACACAAATATATATATATATAGTATAAACACACATATACATGAACATACAGTCCTTACTCAGCACACACACTCATCTATCACACTTAAGCCCACTCTCATGTAGAAAGAAGTATACTGATGTGTGTGTGAGAGAGAAAGAGTACAGAGGGATTTCTATCGGCTGGGCTGTTTCATGACATTAGGATTCAGTTCCAGCTGCCTTAGTTCATTGAAGTGGAAAAGAGGGACAGGGTGAAAGGAAAGAAAAAGAGGAAAGAAGAGGAGGATTGGCTCATTTAAGCCACCAACACTCCAATGGTAAAGAACACAACCTCTCACTTCTGCAGCATTTGAAGCTCTTTATCATCTCGCAATCTATCTACATATTAACAACATTTTCCCAAACAACATGCTTTCACTCCCATATCCATCCCTTCCCTCCTTCATCCCTCCATCTGTTAGTGGTTAGAAGAAATGTGCTCCCTTCAGGGCCAGGAACCTGTAGTATTTCCTGCTTTGCCAGAGAGCAAGGGGGAGAGAGGCAAGAGAGGAGGAGGAGGAGGAGGAGGAGACGAAGGGGAGAACAGAGAGGCACTGAGCCTGAGGAGGAAACCCACACAGAGAAAAAGAAACAGAGAGACGGTGAGGGAGGGAGGGTGGGTTGAATGAAGGCCTCGTGCACATACATCTGGCTTTGATTAGCCAGACAGAGAGGGTGATGGTGAGAGAGGAGACAGAGGGGCTTTTATTTTTGGCACTTTTGGGGATACAGAGTGATTGACCTATTTTTTCTTCTCCAGCCTCTTTGATTTTCCCCTACTTATACCCAGTTCATTCACATTTCAAATATCTGGAACCAACTTTTTTTTCAACTGCTGTCTCTATAGACAAAGCAACAGGAAAGCAATTTGAGGCACAGTCCATTTTTTTTCTCCATCATTTTCTATTTTCTTTCTTCCTGCTAAAGTCACCTCTGTTCCATTCCATTCCATACGGCCTGTGCCAAACATCTCTTTACCGACCAGTGTTGTATATCAAACATTATCAGCCTCGAATCAGCACATTGTCATCACGCATTGTGTCGCTGTACTGCACCTTATTTTTAGCCCCTACAATCAATGATGATTGGAGTTTATTATTAAATGCTATTGAATTAAAAAATGGAGGAAAATCATTGATTCGTTTATAATTACATCATAGTATAATTACTATGGCAACAAGCTAGCCAACATTCATTTGTTACCTAGCAACAGAAGGTGACTAAACTGAACTGAAACTTGGTTCTAGAAATGATACAGCTGCCTTTAATCAATTGTTTCAGCACAATGAACATGAAACCTAATGAGTGCATGAAGAGCAGGAACCACAACAATATATGTCTTGAAGCTTATATATGAGATTTAGAACATGAATATAGCATTACACAACTATTCTCTATGTAAAGATATAGTAGAGTTATGGTGTCACACTCCCTCTGCCTGTGTTTCTATTGCAGACGGCTTACAAAGACGGTTTTTATTTTGTTTCAATGATGGGCAGTTGACAAAACTGTTATATTCTGATAAGAATAGTCTTAGCCAGGGCTGCTCCACCTATTTCTGGACACTGAGCTCATTTGCTGCTCCCTCTCAGACATTTTGGGAATTTGCTCTTAAGTTTCCATTCATTATAACTGAAAACATTTAAGGCACAAAGTTTAAAAAATATCTCATCTTGGTGCTTGTGCGCATGTATCCTCAAAGTCAAGATAATTTACCAGTATATTTGTTGTTGAAATACTTAGCCACATGGGTTTGTAGCAGCAGCAGCAGCAGCAGCAGCAGTTGAGTCTGATGTTTAGTCTAGGATTAATATAAAAACAGTCCTGAGGGGACGACAGAACGGTCAAAGTAGACAAGAGAGAAAGACAAACAAAAGAGACAAACTGAGTGTGGTTCAGTGTAAGCAATGTTTTTTCCAATCCCTGGAAAATGTCAACCAACTTCTGACAGCTTCTCCCCAGGGACCCCCTCCCCCCAGAGCTTTAAATTCAACTCTGAAAAATGTCAGACCGAGCTAGAGAAGTTAGTGTATATCTCACATACATTTCAGGCTGGAAGCTGGCCACACTATCTACAGTATTATTGCTTCATATAATCAGATGTCAGACATTAATAATAATTAATTAATATTAATATTAATATTTCTCATTTCATCACCACACAGCCTCTCTGTCAGGGGTTCTTTATGTGTAGGGAGTGTTTGTCATTTCTGCTGACTGTGGCGTTATCAGCATATCATTCTGAAGGGAAAAGAATGAAATGTCAAGCAAATTTGAAAACATGCTGACTGTCTTGGAACCCTAAACCTAGCCCTAAAATCTCTTAACATTTTTCTTAAAATTTCTTTTAAATGTAAATTTTCTTAAAGGTTTTGTGTAACATTTATGAGGATCTATTGTCAGAAATATAATATAATATTAAGGTTTTTATTAGTGTATAATTACCTTAAATAAAAAAAATTAAAACAATATATTGAATTGAAAATTGAATTGAATATAAAAGTTGTGTTTTCGTGCCTTTTGCATTTTGTTAAAATGGGTAAAGAAAATGTAAGTACACTTTTGAGCAAGGCAACCTAACCCAAAGAAACTGCTCATGGGGTGCTGCTAATGTGGCAGCCCACCCATCACACCACCATCTCTCTCCCTGTTTGGATGTCCACAAGTGTGGATTTCAGCCTGTGTGTGTGTAATAAAAAAAATAAAAAAGAGTGAAAAGAACAATTTCTCCAATAGGGGATTAATAAAGTATATATCTACATGCAGAACACAGGTATAGTGTTTATAACCTGCAACGAAAAAAATCTTTTACATCTTCTAAATTATTATTATTATTAAACTTATTGATTAATAGTGGGTTTGTAAAAAAAATCACAGAATCTCGTGGTCTGCTTTTATTGTCAGTCTATGACTATCTATGTCTAAGTGATTGTCAGTGCTGTTCCAGATCCCCCACTGTTCTTTCAAGAAGGTTCTATTCAGAATAAAGAAAAGTTTATGTTCACTATTCTTTTATTATGAATAAATACAAAATGTACACTTATATACACAAACAACAGATATATCGTCTACACATGCCTGTTTTGGATCATTATACTATTTTATATTATATTTTACGTAACATGCTATTTTCACCACGGGGCCTGTGTTACCAGTGGTATGTGTGGTTCTGCTGCCCTCTATAGGCCACGTGTTGGACTCACATGGTCCCGGGTGTAACTTGATAGGGTCTTTTACTTTAAGGGGTTAATGGCCCCTCTAGTTAACACTGTAGGGGAATTAGTGGCTACAGACTTGTTAAGTTGTCAGTCACTGCCAACAACCAGAGAGTGTATAAGAGGATAAAGGGTATTTCTGCTGTGTTGTTGCAGTGTTGCTCATATGAGGGCCATTAAACAACAGATTCAAGAGAGAGGGGTGTTCTCTTCAGTTACAAAGGGGCCCACCTTGGGCCCAGTCTGCCTGACTGGACATGCATTTTGTTGTTTAGTTTAATATTTTGAATAATATTAAATGTATGTGTCTTGATTGCAGCAAAAAATGAATAAAAAGACAGACTCTTTTTTTAAACTTTATTACAAAAATAGGCATTCAATACAAGGACTTCCAAAACATGTATACAAAACGTTTCATCATAAAATGTGCACTTATTGTATACTTAATATAATGACATTGATATTAAATTATACAACAAATATACAAGAAATACAAGAAAATACAAGAAAACAAGAAAAACACAAAAAACCTATGGTGTCTGTTAAACAATTTGAGTTTGAAATGTCTAAATAAAAGTTTTTGCCATGATTTGGCAAGTTTTCAATCATTGTCAAATAGGTTTTAAAATCAGTATGTATAAAAGTATACAAGTTTCTAATATTATTTTGATTAACATCTCAGCAAAATGATATAATAGTACTATTATAAATACTTTTATAGACAGTCACTCAGCTCTGTCTGTCTTCTAACAATAGAAGTGTAAAAAGTTCAGAGAGCAGAGAAAGAATATTCTCACTCAACAACTCACCTGTCCATGTCTGACAAGAGTCCTGCTGTTAGGTACACTAATCAGCCAAACAGGTAAAAATGTTAGCTAGCTCCGTGCAGGTGTCATTGTCATCATCTTCTTCATGTTCATCATCATCAGTCACTACTATTAGTGTAGTTGTTGCTACTATTGTTGCTGTGCACCTGTCTGTCTG